CGTTCATCCATGCCTATATTATATTGGATTCCAATTAGTAAATAATTATGGTAAAAAAGATAAACTTGTACAAACAAAAGTCATTGTTACAGATATTGATGGAAATTTAATTGATAATATTTCAATTGAATGTAAAATAGTTGGCATTGGTCAAGAAAAAAAAGAAGATGAAAATGGTTTAATTGTATTTAAAGAAATAAGAGATGAACAAAAATTCACAAATGTTAGTTCCAATAAAGATGCAATCAATATGGATTTTATACCAAAACTAGGTAAAAGATTAAATCTCAACTGTCTTTCTATGCATATATCTCTGTCATGTAGTTTATTTATTCGTTTTTTTATTATATTTTTTAAAATTTTCTTTTATATTAGGAGGTCAATACAATATATCATATACTGTCAAAGATGAACAAGGACGATTAGCTATGAGTTTCTATGATAATCTTTATATTGCTGGCGGTAGTGGAAAAGAAATGGAAAAACAGAAAGTGGAATATGTTCCAACTGATACACTAACAATTATACCTAATGCAACAAATTATCAACCAGATGATACATGTGAATTATTAATCTTAGCACCTTTTAGTCCAGCTAATGGTTTAGTTATATTTGATTGTGAAGGTCAAATTTCTCAACCAATACAATTTCACATTGAACCTGAAAAAGATTCAACAACTGTTGAATTTAAAATATCAAAAGATTGGATACCAGGATTTACTGTTCGTGTTGAGTTAGCAGGTTCTATTCCAAGAGAAACAGAAATAGTTAATTCATCAAATCGTCCAGCAATTGCTACTGGTACAGTATCATTAGAAGTCTCAAGAGATTTGTATAAACTAAATATATTAGTTAATACAAAAGAAACAGACAAAACATATACACCATCATCAATTATTCATATAGATGTTAATGTTACACAATATACAGATAAAGTACCTGTAGACAAAGCTGAAGTTTGTTTGATTGTTGTTGATGAAGCTATTTTATCATTAACTGATTACAAATTAACTAGTCCATTGGATATATATTATCCGAATCGACCAGCAAATATTACAGAATACCATGGTAGAAATCGTTGTTTATTATTCAAAATGCAAGATATGGAACAATTTAAGAAAGATATGCAACGAAAGCAAGACGAACATGTGCATTTTGAATCATGTATGATGAGCAATATGAATATGGAGTGTTATACGGATCGTGCTGCATTTGGAGGTTCGTATGGAGCTACTTGTGGTGGTAGTGAACAAAAAATAGCTGTTCGATCGAATTTTAATCCATTAGCATGTTGGGTACCATCATTAATTACTAATTCATCAGGACATGTTTCATTTGAATTTAAGTTACCTGATAATTTAACACGCTATCGTGTATGGGCCATAGCAACAAATGATAAACAATATGGTTTAGGCGAAATGTCATTTACTGTTCAATTACCAATTATGATTCGACCTTCACCACCAAGATTTCTTAATTATGGAGATACAGCTCATTTTTCAGTTGTTTTACAAAACCAAACTGATCAATCATTATTATTACATGCTGGTTTAAAAGCAACTAATGCAAAATTAATAACATCAGAAGACAATCAACAAGAAGTTGGTTATTCAATTCAACTTCAACCAGGTAAACGAGCTGCACTTACATTTCCAATATCGACAACTCATGCAGGCACAGCTCGATTTCAATTTATAGTCAGTACTGCTGCCAATGAATCACAAACATCATTTGGTGATGCAATTGAATTAAGTATACCTGTCTTCACACCAGCAACATCTGAAGCATTTGCAACATATGGTGATATATGTGAAGAAGAAGTTATTTTTCAACCAATCAAAACACCAGAGAATGTTATTCCACAATTTGGTCAATTATCAATATCAACAAGTTCAACAGCATTAGCTTCATTAACAGATGCAATTATTTCACTTTATACATATCCATATGAATGTACAGAACAATTAAGTTCACGATTATTAGGTATACAATCGTTATGGGATGTTTTACAAGCATTTCATTGTAAAGATTTACCAGATATATCAATAATGACAACTAAATTACAAACAGATATGAATACATTGAAAGGTCGTCAATTTTCTAATGGTGGATTTGGTTATTGGACAAATAGGAATGATTCTTATGCTGATCCATTTGTAAGTGTACATACTGCACATTGTTTGGTTGTTGTTATAAAAAAACAGGCAAGAATCGTTTTCTATCTGTCTAATTTATTAAAAACATTTTGTATTATTTTTTGAAGATATGTAATGTTGACATGTATATGCTGGACAATGTGTTGAACTATCTTACAAATATTGAATCTGAAATTGATAAGTTACCCTATAGTAAACATTGGTGTGAAACAACTCGATTTAGTTTGATCAGTTATGCATTATATGTGCGTGCGAAACATCTTCAAATTGTAGCTAATGAAGCATTAGAATTATTTGTACGAAGTGGATTGAATAAACTTAGTTTAGAAGCATTAGGCTGGTTGTTAATATCATTATCTACAGAGAAAAATGATAAGACAGATCAATTAATTGAAACAATATATAAACATTTGAAAGGTAAAGTAAATGAAACAAGTGAAACAGCAAATTTTATAACATCCTATGGTGATGATGGTCAATCCGTTATGTTACATTCAGATCAACGAACAGATGCTATTCTATTAGAAGCATTATTATATATTGATCCAAATTCAACTATTTGTACGAAATTATGTAAAGGTTTACAAGCACATCAAGTCAAAGGTGCATGGAAATCAACACAAGAAAATTGTTTTGTATTAATTGCATTAGAAAAATATTTTAATATCAAAGAAAGAGATACACCAGATTTTATTGCTAATATTTGGTTAGATAATGATTATTGTGGTCAACATCAATATAAAGGTAAGACGAATAAGAATAAAATATCTGTTACTAACATTGTTAATATAATCATTTTGTTTCTTAATTTAAAGATCGAACAACAGATACACATACAGTAAATATTCCAATGAAAGTAATTTTGTTACCATCATCATCCAATGCAGAAATCGATGATCAGAATAAAAATTTGATCATGCAGAAAGATGGCAGTGGTCGATTATATTATCGTATTGCATTAAATTATGCTCCATCAAGCCTACAATTAGATGCCGTTAATTATGGTTTTAAAATTGAACGAACATACATGGCTGTCGATGATCCTTCACATGTTCAAAAACAATCCGATGGTATATGGAAATTGAAGTTAGGTGAAAAAGTCAAAGTTATATTAACAATGACTACTACACAACGACGATATCATATAGCATTAGTTGATTATTTACCAGCTGGTTGTGAACCATTAAATACACAATTAAAGGGTATATTAACAGGTGATACAGAATCGTCAGTTACAAGATCAAATCGAAATAATTGTTATTTTGGATGTCAACCACATTCAATTCTTGGTTGGACTGAACATGAAAACTTAAGAGATGAACGTGCTGAAGCATTTCGATCATTATTATGGCCAGGTGTATATGAATGGAGTTATGTTATGCGTGCAACATGTGCTGGTACATTTATAGTACCACCAGCCAAAGCGGAAGAAATGTATTCACCAGAAAATTTTGGTCGATGTGCATCAGAAAAAGCTATTATTAACTGACAAATATTTATATTATATTTAAAAGTTCATAGTTAGTTTTTTACATACATGCTTCATTTCTTTAACCACTTCACCACTAATCTTTTTATTAATTCATTTATTTTAACATAACTTTTTCATCATTCTAAATAAACTATTAATAAAATGATTAAGCAAACTTAATTACTTGGTATCTTTCATCTTGAGGGTGTGGGTTTCTGATTGATACTGCACCCACACCCGCACCCTCAAGATATTTCTTTTAACAAAAGAGAACCATCGAGCTATTGTATTCTGTGTATACTGTAGATCTAAATAAATCAATCATACCTAATATTATTTAGTCAGATCGCATTTTCTGTACAATATCAAATTTTAAAATTAATTCTTTTAGAGAAGACCCTGATTTTGTTAAAATCAAGTATTTGGTTCTAGTTTCATTAAAACATCATTTAGAAAAAAAAAGAATTCGATTTAGATCCGTGTTACATAAAATAATCGAAAGATTTCTAGAAAAATCATTCAATATATAATGGTGTTCTCGTTGATTTTATTCACAACGTGAATTATGTCCTTAACATTTGCTTTTTCTCGATTGAATTGAAATGATATAATATTGATTTTTATTGAAGTAGGTCAATTGTTGATCCCTTTGCAAAAGTCCGAATGAAAATAAAACGATGATGAAACTTATACTCTGTCATTTAAGCATTAGATAAATAACAAAAAACTACACTTTAAATATCAGATTAGATAAAACAATATTAGTTATTGTTATTCTCAAAACATGATGTTAGGAGCAAGTACTTTGAAATCGCGTAAAATTTTCAACTCAATTTCGTATGATTTGAGGATGGTATATATATCTTATTTTTCAAGCATAGAAAAATCCTGATAAGTTCAGATTACTGGAAATACGTTTACAAAATGGCGCTCTAATCGAGAAAAAGTAAAAAACATTTTCCGTTTTTTTTTAAATCGTGATTTCTTGACAGAAATTGACTTTTACGAGGGATGGAGAAGCCTTCATTTTTCTTTATCAAAAATAGTTACTTTAGAAGATTTCAAATGTAAGAGAGAAAATAATTTATTATTTAATATAAATTGACAATTCTAATTGGTTACGTAAAAACTATTTTGCGATGGTTTGTTTTTTTTCTATATATTCTCATGTTATTTCTCATCATATTGGCATATTGGTAATGTGTTGCAGAACGATATTTTAGGCTTGTATAATGTCAACATAATAACAGAACAGAACAGAAAAGAAAAAAAACATCACATGTTCTGTACAACAAATAAGTAATGACGAAGGTTACAAAAACATACATATGTATATATGAAGAAAAAAAAATCGTGTCTTACAACTAAACGAAATGACGTTATTTCAAAATGGTCTGTTCGGTTGTTTAAAAAAATTGACTATAATTATTTTGATTGTCGCTATTGCTATTCCTCTTCGATATGGTTCAACTAGTCCTTCGTATCTTGCTGTTCGTTTAATACATTCAATGTTTTCATTAAAAAATTCTCTTATACCAGATAAAACTCGACCAACATTAAGTGCTGATTATCGAGCATTTGAAGATTTGATTCGTATGAAACCATTAACAAAAATTGATACATCAGTAGATCCACTTGTTATAATTAAAGAATTACGTTTGACTATGGGACAAACTAACATTAGTCCGAAACCAGCTGAATGTCAAATTAGAAAAGAAATATTTAAATATAATGCACATACAACAGATGGATATTGGGTTTCTAATCAACTGAAAAGTTCATCTAAGAATAGTGATAAAATATTAATTTATATTCATGGTGGAGGCTTTATGACTGGTGATATTAATAGTAAGTTTTATTCTCTAATAATGTTAAATATTATTTATTTTTAATAGCGTATAGTGGTTTTGAATGTTATTTATCTCGTATATTCAATATAAATGTTCTTCATGTAGAATATCGTCTTGTTCCAGAACATCCATATCCAGCTGCTGTTGATGATACAATTGCACTCTACCATGCTCTACTTGATCAAAATATTTCATCATCTCGGATGATGATTATGGGTGATTCAGCTGGTGGTGGTCTTACATTACAAACAATGCAAGCATTAATTACTCGTGAACTTCCTGTTCCTCGTGGTGTTATTCTTCTATCACCTTGGGCTGATATTTCATCATCTGGAGAAAGTTATACGCGTAATCGTCCTATTGATCCAATTCTTTTCGATCATAATAGTACCTGGGTAGCCGCACAAATACTAGGTCCTAAACAAATTCATTTTTCTCATAAGGATCCTCTCATTAGTCCTTTATATGGTTCATTCAAAGGATTTCCACCAATGTATGTTAATGTTGGTACAGCTGAAATAACAGAAGATGATTCAAGAGAAATTGTTAAGAGAGCAAAACAAGCAAATGTTGATGTTACACTTGAAGTAGCTGTACATTTAATGCATGTTTATCCAATATTTTATCTTTACTATCCTGAAGCACGAAATACAATTGATAATATTAACGAATGGATGAAAACAAAATTCGACTAAAAACTGTAGATTGAACTTTTACATTTGTTTTCTCCTCACTAGTATCTGTAACCTATAGTTAGAATTTTTTGCATTGATATATTAAATACAGTTTAGTTACACTTCATTTGAGATGACAAGGGTGTGGGTAGAAACTCATTCTTCGTCACCCATACCCTCGTATATGTTGTCAAAATTGCATAGAACCCCTCGTAAACGAATTATTTTGAGACTATCAACGAATTATTTATTCAGAGTACTATGTTACTCATGTCTCACTTGTCAATATACATGCTCAGTAGATTATTTAATAATTCAAATCGATTTCGGATTCCACGTGCTTAATCACCTCTGGTAAAGTTTTAAGAAACATAATTTGTTTTATTTTTACATTATTCTTCAAACAATCAATAAGGCACGGACACACAAGGAAGCAAACAATTTATTCTTGCAAAACTCTTCTCTACAAGAAAGAGAATTAGTTTAGAATACGATTGTAAAAAATTCGTTTTATCAACGAACGTAAAGCTAACCGATACACAGTTGAAGGTAAAATAAACAGAAATAAAATTGTCATTGAAGGAATAAAACCAATTAAATAAGCAAATAAACTTAAAAATGGCCGATGATCAAGTTTTTTACATACAAATGTAAAAAGAAATAAAATTCGAGGAAATGAAAGAATAGCAAGTAGAAGAGGACCTAAAAGAATATGTTTGTGTTTCATAATTTGTTTTTTAATAAAAATCAATCGTATACTCCATTGATGTGCTTGATTAATGTTTCTATTAAAATTCCATTTTGCTCTTTGTTTTAATTTAAAAGTTTCTCGAATAATAATAATACTACTTACTAAATTAATAATTATTGGTACGAAGAATAGAAATAAATTTGATGCAATATAACATTGAAAAATCTTTGGTCGACTATCATTATTAAGAGTAAAAACACACCAATTTCGTTTATCTTCTTCATCAATTATCATTCGACGAAAGAATATTTCTGGTAATGATATTATACCAACGAAAATAATTACACTAGGAATTAAACATTTCGATATATATTTACTTTTCGATCGAGAAAAATGAGTTTTATATAATAATGCTGTACATCGTTCAATGGCAACACACGAATTTAACCATTCACAACTTGTTAAAAACCATTTAAATGAAAATTCAATCAATGAACAACTTAAATTATTTTGTTTATCAAATAATAATAAAACCATTTTACACATTAATAAAATAATTGTAAAAAGACCAAGAAATGCTGATGTTAATAAATAAAATGCAGAACCAACTTCTTGTGTAGTTCGATTATTAAATGTTCCAATTGATAATATATTTAAGATTATTCCAATAAAACCTAAAATAATTATAACTATAAAAGTTATTTGAATAGTAGTTGTTTGATAATATAGATTTGTAATCTTTGGTTTTATATGAGATCCAATAATAGCATCAAGAGAAAGCATATAATCTTCAGTTGCGAATTGACAAACTGATCCATAACTACATGAATTACAAAGACAAAATGAATTTTTTGGACATAATTCATGATCTTTTATACAAATTCCTCTTTCACTACATTTATTCCATGGACATCCGCTATACGTTGAATTTATATTAAAACAATAAGCATGATTTGTTTTATCACATAAACACATTAATTGTTCATCATAAAAACATTGAAATTTTTCAATTAATTTTTTTTTCAAACATATTTGTTGATAATATTTAACACGACGTAAATAGGGTTGAGAAAGAATCGTTTTATTCAATAATTCTTCAACTGATCGACATCTATTCTTTGGATCAACAATAACATTCATTTCACTTAATGATTCATTAACTTGTGTAATAAAATTTAATAAATAATAACTACCATGATTAAGATCTTTAAATAATTGAATAAAAGAAATTAATCCAGAAGAATCAGAACTATCGAATGTTAATTCAAGGAAAAATGTTAAATTTAATATTTCTTTATGGAAACGATAGAACGATGTTAGATATGTTTCTTCACGAAATGTTGATGGGATAATTAAATGAATAAGTGCAATAGTAGATGATGAAATCATTTTCGAATCAGTAAATGAAATATCAAAGCGAAATTTTTTATTTTCGCATCGTTTTCCATACCATTCTAAATCACAAATACATCGAAATTGAGAATTTGGATGAGCACGTTCATCATTCGGATAACATTGTCCATGATAATTACAACTCCAATTCGTACATGGATTAAATGGAATTAAACAACGAGAACCAATACGATTTAATGGACATACACAAATATCTCGATTAAGATTTATATCATAACCAATATAAAATGAATCCAATGAACATGAACTTGAATTCTTTTTATTAATTATTCTTTCAATTGAATTATCAAAAGTATCAATATTAGAAATAAATAATCGTTTAACTATATGTTGTACAGGTAAAAAATGAAATGGAATTTTAAATATCCATGTTGAATGATGTTCAACAATTGAACTAGTAAACATAAGAACTTCAATTGAATCATTTGAATATAAAGATAATGAATCATTTATGGGATAAACTAAATGTATTATATATTTTGGTGAACAATATTCAAGTGGTGTATAAAGAAATTGTTCATGTGATAATATTATTCGTTTTTCATTTTCACGTATTAATAAAACAAGAAATTTCATTGTAGGAAAATTTCGATTAAATGAACCTGTTAATTCAATATGAAATATAGTAGTTATTCGTTTACGTTGATATTGACATCGATCACCATAATAATAAATTGGACATAAACAAACGAATCCAGATGTACTTTCCAATGAACGAACATATAAACCACGATTACAATACCATATAATCATATGATCAATATATGATCTTTGTTGTTTAATTTGTTTCTGTAATGGATAATTATTCATATCTAAAGAATTTACTCGAGTACCAGGATGATATTCAATTAAATCACAAAAAAGTTCATCTTCTCCATCTTTACAATGAAAAAGTGATCCATCACATCGAAAACTTCCTTTTGTATAATTATATACTATTCCATTTCTACATCGAAAATCATGTTTGTGACATAATGATGTTTGTCCATTATTCATCCATCGACATGCTATTGTTTCATCATCATTTAAAGGACAATCTTGATGACAATCACATATTTGAAATGGTGAAATACATATATCAGAATTTAAACATCGATATCGAAGAACATAATCATATGGATATTTTGAACGACAAAAAGATCGTTCATCTATTGAACCAATACAATCAATAATACCATCATTAGCTTTATTTAAAGGTAAACATATTGGTAAACCATTTTGAATATCCAAACAAAAATGTGTTGTTTTATTACAATGACGTGAAGCTAAATTTGGTTTTCCGCAACCTAATTCATCTTCTCCATTTGGACAATTCCAAATATTATCACATTTTGTATGAAAATTAACACAATTCCATTCATCACTACGACAATCTGTTTCATCGGTATTTCCTTCTAAATCAGAAGAAATTTCAGTAAAACCATTACAAAGTTGTTCAAAAGTAAAATTAAATCGACGAGATTCATTTCGAAAACTACGACATTCATCTGTATATATCCAATTACATAACCGACGTATAAAATATGTTTCATCCATTCCATCATTACAATCTTTCTATAATAATTAATTAAAAATTTATAAAAAGAAAAATTTTCATAGAAATATACGAACGAATTTATTTGCTATAGCAGTTGAATGTATACATCGTGTTCCTTGATCACATTTTAATCGAAAACTATAATTTAATAAGCAAGTATTATTCTGATATTCATCTTCACCACTGGAACAATCTTTATAACCATC